ATGTTTGACATAAACATGGCAGCTTCTATCCAAGAGAGCCTTCTATGGGAGCATAATTCAGTCATCAGTTATTGAGTATTAGGCAGCGCTTCTAGTTCTTTCCTTGATGGCTTCAGTTTCCCTATGGGATTGAACATGGCTCTTTTGGGGTACAGCCTGCTTGTTGTGGTCCTGGTCAGTAGTTGGTTTCCACTTAGGAAAGGAGACACTCACATGAGGGTACATACTAAAACAGAGGGCCAGTGTTGTGGACATGAAGGACATTTTGTTGTGGAAACTCGTTTCCTCTTAGAGCACGGGTGGTATCCTGTGCCCTCCCCTCTTACCTAAGAGCTACCATAGTCACATATGTCTACTTACAATGTCCACTTGCTTTCTTTGCTTCAAGATGGAATGCAGTGATACCTGCAAACAAGCTGAGGGGAGATCCTGGATTATGTTGTCTTGGGGTGCTGGAATAGCAATTCTTCTTCTCTTCCTTTCTTTCTCTGCCAAATTTGCTTCCTTTGAGTTCTCTGTAGGGAACATGGGTTACTTTTGTTTTTCTAGGTTGTAAATCCATTAAAAAAAAAAAAAGCTTGTCTAAGTCAATTGGTGCTTTAATATCCCTTAACATTGAGTATTGGCATTTTTCTTGTCTTATATAAATATGTAGAGCAGACACTTGAGATCTTCTTCTGTTTGCATTTGACAAGATTTGACCTTTGGTCTTTCCTTATTTCTCCACTATTGTAATACGGTTTAGTTTGTTTAGTTTTGTTTATTTACAGACAGGGTCTTGCCTTGTTGCCTCGGCTGACCTTTTTTTTTTTAATGATGGGAACAAAACACATCTAAAACCGAAGCTTCTGGAAGAACCACTTATTCTTCCTGGTCTTGTATCTCTCCTCAAACTTGACTTTGGCCTCCCGTCTGGCTTTGCGTTTAAGAGCTGGGTCTCTGAAGACATCCTTGTTGACAACAGTCTTGTCCAAGGGGATATCCACAGAGTACCTTGTGGGCATAAGGTAATTGTAGTTATAAACTTTCACAAAAGACTTTATCTTTGACCTCTTGGCAATTTTCTTCTTGCCCATTGCAGCTGTCACTTTGCGGGGATAGCAGTCAATTCCAGCCACCATAGCATGGCTGTAGGGGCGATCTGAGGTGCCATCATCAGTGTTCTTCACGATGACGGCTTTGCGTCTGGAATAGCGTCCGGCTAGGACCAACGCCACTTTCCCAGGTTTCATGAACTTGCCTATTTCGACAGCAACCAGCAAGCCCACAGCAAAAAAAAAAAGCTTGGCTGACCTTGAACTTCTGGACCCAAGCAATCTTTCTGGGACTATAAACACACACTACCATACCCAGCTATGTTGAATTTTAGTTAAAAGAGATTGAGGGGTAGCCCATGGGCTATTTACATCTCCAGCACTAGCCCAGTTTTAAAACTTAGATATTTATTGGATCAATGAATGAAACTTGCCAACAGCAGCTAAGAATGGCAGATCTTCCCCTCTTTCCAGTTTCAGGCTATGAGAGCATTGTATTCCAAGCCATATGATGTTTCCTGGGCTCTTTCCTTCTACTCCCCTCCTGACCGTATCTGAGTCTGGGTGTGACTGGTATGATTCAAGAGGTCATGTGGGCTGAGGAATGGTGCTTGATCACTGTGCAATATTGAGTCAGCTGTGCCAATCAAATCTGGCTATAAAAGAGCTAATCTAACTATTGATCCTGCAGAATGTTCCTATGTAAACCTGAAACCTGAGAGCTGATTCTGTAATGTACGTGAAATTACCAGTCATGGATTCCCAAGGACAGATGAGAGTTCCTTGGTCTCTCTTGACCCATATGGACCACCTTTATAGACAGGAAGCCCTTCCGCTGTCCCCTTGAGCAGATGCCATCTGCCTTTGAGCCCCTTTCCAGCTTTCCCTGTATTCTGTGGGTAAAAGGACACAGGCACGCTCTTTTGATATTTTCATAGCATTCTATTCACAGCACCTAAAACTGCTAGCTATGTCTATGACAGGAAGAAATTGAACTTTAAAACAAAACAATGTGGTTTTCGTTCTTAAACTTATCATTTATTATTAGTTGTGTGACCTTGAATAAGTAACTTGACCTTTAGATTTTCATCTGTAAAAAGGAAAAAAAAATATGTACCTAATGGAACTATTATGAAAAATAAATGATATTTTACTTAGGAGGATATCTATAGCTTTGTATGCATATATTAGGAAAGACAAAAGGCTGAAAAATTAATGAACTCAGCTTTTATTTCCAGAAGTAAGAAAAAGAACAAAATAATTGAATCAAAAGAACGTAGAAGAAAGGAAACGATAATGATAAGAGATGAAAGAAATAAGATATATATTTAGCAGATAGCTAGAATGAATGAATGAATGCATGCTAAAAGTTGATTCTTTCAAAAGAATAAAACGTGGTAATCCTTTGATGAGTCTGATGAAGAGAAAATGCACAATAAGCTAGTATCCAAAGTGGATACTTCTACAGATCCTTCAGCCTTTAGAAAGATTATAAGAAGATAATATGAACAATTATAGGCAATAAATTTAGAAGTGATGAACTGGACTCCCTAGAAAAATGCAACTTCCAAAAGTCAACACTCAAAGAAATAGAAAATCTGTAAATAGCCTTTACCTATGAAATAATTGAAACCTAGCTGGGCATGGTGGTACATACATATTGTAGTCCCAGCACCTGAGGTTGGGATGGGAAGACCGGTTTGAGGCCATCCTGGATTGGGGAGAAAAAACAAGAACTGAAGTCTTTAATTAAAACTGGTTAGAGAAAATTCTAGGCCCTGACAACCTTAATGACAAATTCTGCCAAATAGTTAAGAAAAATTAAGGCCAGTCTTATGTAAAAGCTTTTAGTGGAATGTAGTAGGAAGATCCTTTCTTTGCTTGAAAAGCAATTATTTCCAAAAATCCTATAGCAGATTTTAATGATGAAATATTTTTTGTTTCATTTTTATTTTGTGGGGCTGGGAATTGAACCCAGGGCCTTCCACGTGCTGGGCAAGTGCTCTACTACTGAGCTACACCCCCAGCTCTTAATGGTGAAATGTTGAAAGCTTTGTCTTTGAGCTCTAGAAAGGGCCCTACATTTTGTTGGAAGTTCTCTCCAGTGTAATAAAGCAAGAGAAAGAAAGAAAAGCCACATGAATTGGAGAGGAAGAAATAAAACTGTCATTATTTGGATATCATGTTAATACATGCATAGAAAATCTAAGCAAACTTAGATAAATTATTAGAAATAAATGCAAATTTGCTAGGTTTATGTGCCTCTACAAAAATCAGTTCTATATCTTAACAATCATCAGATAAAATGGAAAACTTCAAAGATACTATTTTTAATATAAAAAATATTAAGTGCTGAGTACTTACTAACCATAGGTATACAAGAAGAATATGGAAGACTATAGTTGCCTACTGAGAGAAGTAAAGAAGGCCTGAGTAAAGGGTGCACACCATGGACGGGAGACTCAGCACCGTGGAGGTGTCTGTGCTCTTGGAGTGAGACTTGGGTTCACTGAGCTCCTCACCAGAGGAGTTGGCTTGTTGGTAAAACTGAATAAATAATGATATGTGTAGAAATGTACAGGGCCAAGGATAGCCCAAACTGGCCTGGAATTCATAATCCTCATTTGTGCTGGGATTACAGGCACGTATCACCATACCTGGCTCAAAAAAATCTTATAAATGTGCGATAATAAAGACAACATGGCACTGTCACAGGACAGAGGCTAAAACAAAGAGCCTAGCTAAAGGACAAAGATAGACTGTAGAATGATAGAAAGGAGCAGTTAGACATCTGTGTGGGAAGAAGTGAGACTGGACTATTATGTCACATCATGTACAAGTATTTCTGGGCATGAAAAGTAAAATCTGAAAAAAAAAAAATCACCATATGTACCTAAAAGGGAATAAAGGTGAATGAAGATCTTTATGACCTCAGCAAAAGGAAAAACTTCCTAAACAGCACTATCTTAGAAAAATATTGATTAAACTACACCATATTAAAATTAAGAATATCTGCGCAACAGATGACACCATGGAGGAGTGAGAGGATAAGGCACAGTGCAACACGTGTAATTTACATAGGATGTCATTGAGAGAAACACAGATCACAATCACAGTGAGTTTCTGCTCTGTCCATCTGAAAGGCTGGATTGTGATGATAATTGCTACTTCCCGGTGAATGAAGTGCACATGTACAGAGCACATAGCACATCGTCTGGCACATGAGGAGATCTGCATGGGCAGTAGGTGGTGATTGGCCCCCTCGTCACTGAGTAAGGGAGCTCTTGTGGGTGGCAGCTTAGGAGAAAGTGTGTATTCCAGTAGCAATAATCAAACCCAGTTCCTGTCTCCAATGTTCCTCACTACCTGTGGGTAGCTGCTGGTGGGGGCACTAAGAGCAACGTTGCCACTTTGGAGCATCAAGCTAATGTCCATCACTGCTAATCTTCATGTAGTTGTGTGAGAAAAATGCCCTCATCCTCATCTGTGCCAAGATAGCCACAGTGGACTGTGGGTAGCCAGGGCATGGGGAGAGGAGGAAGAGATTGAGGGGCAGGAAAGAAAAAGATACTGAAGTTGGGGCAGGGCACACCTACCCTTATAATCAACAGTTAAGGTTTGGGTGCTTGGATACCTGATTTATCTAAATTTGAGGTCGTTTTGAGAACATATCCCAGTGTAACAGAGAGAACATTGCCTTGCAAGCAGGCAGAGTTGGTGTCAAATGCTAGCCTCCACTGTTTGTTAGTGGGTGGATGATTTAACTTTCCCAAGCATCAGTTTTCTCAGTTGTGAAATGGAGACATAAGTAGTGACAATGATAATTTTACGATAGTGACAATAATTACATTGTTATTTATAGCAAACTGCATTTACTATGGACCAATTATTCTAGGCTCTTTGTATGTTGTATTTGACTCACCGCAATTCTGTGATACAGATTCCATTATTGTCTCTCTTTTACAGACAAGGCAGTTTGCACAGAGAGGTTGGGCAACTTGCCCCCTGTTACTCAGGTAATAAGGAGTGGGTCTGGGATTTGAGCCTAGGCAACCTGTCACACCTGTGTTCCTTACTAAGTCTTTCTCACAGGTAGGTTCAAGGCACAATGGCTGCTCCACCCCAACCTCTTGCATACCTCCTGGCTTGGTAGTTAGGGAAGTCTTAAGAATTCAGGTGAGGTAGAGGAGGATGGAAGCAGGGTCTCATCTGAGTTGTAGACAGGTCATTCCCACAAAATGATCTGTGCTTCTGAATGTAGTGGGATCCCATCTACTGTGATTGCTCTTTGCTGTGGCCTGCATTGAATCTGTTCTCAGAAATGATAGATTTGCTTCCTAGCTGAGCCTCACACAGATGGTATCAGAATAAACTAGTCTGTAATCAGAGCTTCAGTGACTGAGATGAATCCATCAAACGGGTGAGTTGGGGATTAACCCTGAGTATGTGGTGCATACCTGTGATCCCAGCACTCAGGAGACTAGGACAGGAGATTTTGACTTTAAGGCTACCCTGGAGTACATAGCAAGACCATATCTCAAAAAAAAAAAAAAAAAAGTTGGGGGTGGGGATGTAATACCCAACATAAGAGGAATATGTGAGAAAGTCTTGAGAGTACGGTCAGGTGTGGAAGGTGGGGTTGTTTGCACTCATGGTTTGTCCCAGTCCTTGCCCTGCCCCATGGTTAGGATGGGCTGGAGCCTAGCAAGCCTGGATGCCCATGGACCCTGCCTGCTCCCACATACTTACCTCACACATACTTGTCTTTTTTCCTAAGGGCTGGGAAGATTATTTAGTGAGGTTATAAATCTGTTGATCTAAGAACAAGAATTGATCTTCGGAATGTCCTTTGAGCCTTTAAAAAGCTGTGAGGTTTTCTTGTTATTGTGAAACACATAGGACAGTCCCCAGAGTTTATTACAACTTGGGACTTTCTTTTTCTCACCAAAAGAAAATACACTATACTGTTCTGCATGGAAGGCCTTACGGAAATGGGAAGTTCTAAGACACAGATGACTTGTTTTTTGTCTTGGGAGTATAAAAACCACAGCTATCTATGTTTTTCTTTCTTAGGTCTGTCTGTGGCTTTTGAGCATCTGAAGCGGACCCCTAAACCTGAGTGTTCGCTGTTGTCCCCTCACCCTCTGCAGAAATGTCTGTCACTTATGATGACTCTGTGGGAGTGGAAGTGTCCAGCGACAGCTTCTGGGAGGTAATGCCTCAGTTTCTTTGATGAATGCAGAGCCAAAGCTGATGGTGCTTGGCAGGCCTTTGTGTTTGGTGGAGATGGGGGAATGAGACAAACATAGCCCAAACCAGCCAGGCAATAGAGAAGATGTGGTGTGGGTTTTAGGCAGGGCAGGTATGCCTTAGTTCTCAGTAAAAGTGAGAGACTTATCTTGCTTGAAACGTCTCACATGATAAGAGCTGATAGATATTTGTTAAAAGTCTTGTCAATCTCCAATGTTTCTTTTTACGGTTAGCCACTCTGTAACTGGCCATGATACACAGTAATTATCAGCTCAGCCTGAGAGGCAGCTTTTCTTTTGAGTTTTGTATAGAAACATGGATGACTGGCCTCACATCATGCTGCACAGAACAGGCAGGTAGACAGAGAACTGAACAAACTACCCTTGAGCTTGGTTGAGCATCTGCCTGCTGGTCTGTGCCCTGGAGGAACTTGCTTCCTGATTTGATTATTTTATGGTTGGTTTTTATTTTTGGAAGTCAGCCCTCTTGCTTTTCCTGCCCACTGGTTAAGAGAAAGTTAACTTTAGGTGTTGTTTTTTGTTTTGGTTTAGTTTTTTTTTGTGGTGCTGGGGATTAAACCCAGGGCCTCATGCATGTTAGGCAAGTAATCTACTTAGAACTGCCTGAAACTTCAACTCCAGTCCAGAAGTTGACTTTGGATCAAATTATGTCCTCATGTGCTGGGCACCAGTGCTCACACTTGTAATCCCAGCTATTAAGGAGGCAGAAGGATCATGTTTGAGACCAGCATTGGCAAAAAGTTCATGAGATCCCCATCTCAATCTAAAAATCTGGGTGTGATGGCATGCACCTGTCATCCCAGCTGTGCGGGAAGCATATATAGCAGGATCATGCTCCACCCAGCCTGGGCATAAATCCAAGACCCTGTTTGAAAAATACCTAAAGCAAAAAGGGCTGGGAGTGTGGCTCAAGTGGTAGAGCCCTGTCTAGCATTCATAAAGCCCTGAGTTCAAACTCTAGTACTGCCAAAAAAAAAAAAAAAATCCCCATGGCATAACCTCTGGAGCTTTCTTGTGGGCTTTTTATACAAAATACAACTTTGTAGTTGGAAAGATGTGGTCTGTGGCTGTGACCCCAGTTGTGCTGTTATTAGCTATGTGACCTTGGGCAAATTGGATAACTCATCTAAGGTTCAGTGTCTGTCTACAAAGGGAAATAATACTGTCCCCTCCCGACCCTGCCAGTGCGTGACTGATAAGATGGAATGTAGCCTTCAGTACCCATGTGGGTTCTTTCCTCATACAGAGGCTCCTGGTGGAGAAGGTGAGCACAGTATCCTGGTGTTTGCTGGGAACTAGCATGGAGTAGCTTCATAAAACAAAACTAATTGGCTCTGTAATTTTATCTGAAAACAAATGCCATCTGCAATTATAGTTTAATGGAAATAAGTAATCACAAGTGCCCAAGTTTTAAAAGATGGGCAAGGAACCTCCAAGTTCCATTCACACTTTTCTTCCCAGTTTTGAGTGGAGGTCATAATTGAGCTAAATATTTCATTCTATTAAAGGTATGTACTCAGCCAGATGCAATAGGTCATACCTGTAGTCTCAGAGGTAGGGAGGCTGAGGCAGGAGGATCACTCCAGCCCAAGAACTGGAGACCATCCTGGACAACATAGTGAGACCTGTCTCCAAAACAAAGTGGGTGTAGGGAGTATGTATTAATGTGCTCTGCTGTGTGCTAGGCCCTGTGAACATATGGCAGGGAGTGGGGAGACTGAGTCCTGGGCTCGGGGACCTACTTCTGGACTTACATAAGTGAACAGAATCATGGCGCTCACAGGCGTTCTTCATCCTTTTTGGCAACAGCAGCCTTCTTGGGGGGATCCAGTCCAGAGCCCAAATCTCAGTGACAAGAATCACAAATCTGCCCTGGAAACATTTCATTTCAGATAGGAAGAGTGACAGAAGTAGTGACAGTTACATATGTTGCCAGCCACTTGGCAGCAGGGCACTCCCAGGTCACTGTCACAGCAGGCATGGTGGAAGGCTTGGTGTAAAATTATAGGAAGTTGCTGAGAGCATGGCTCAAGTGATAGAGTATCTGCCTAGCAAGCCTGAAGCCCTGAGTTCAATACTCTAGTTATCACTTAAACTTTAAGAAGCTACATTAAAACATGAAATTACAAGATGTCTTTTGAAACAAGGCTGGAATTCAGGTCCTGTCTTGTACCCCACCCACAGGTACAGGTTAGTGGGCAGGCAGGCCCCACTTGCTGGCCCCCAGGAAGACTCTTGGCCTTGCCAATGCCCAGAAGCACTCATGGATCTAGCAGTGGCTTTGCAGAGTCTTCTTTTATGCTCCTGTGCTGGCCTTCAGAAATAAGTGTCCTTTTTCAACACTGAAGTCAAACTGTAGGTGGAAACCTCTGGAGCTGCAGGGTTCTGTTGTTTGCTGTAGAGACATTGACAGCTGGCCTCCATCAGGACCTGCTTTGAGTGTAGTGCTGATACACAGGGTGAACATACAAAGCCCTTGTGAATGATAGACCATGAGCAGGTCTATGGTGAGGGGTGGGGGGCAGGTGCAGACATTGCTTTGTAGCCAGGGCCCTGACCTTGTCATTCACTGCCTGTATGTGGCTTGGGGTAAGTTCCCAATTTATCTTTGTTCCAATTCCTAATCTGTAATGATGTACCCATATCTAAGGTACTGTGAGATTTAAAGGAATAAATACGTGTGTGTGTATGTATTCACATGTATACATGTGGCCCAGCACTCCTTCCCTCTGATGCAGGAGCTAGAGGAACCAGCACACACATACACATCTATAAACTTTCTGCAGTGCCTTTGGTGATAGTGTTTTAATTACCAACTTGGTGGCAGAAGCTGTTGGAGAAGTTTACCAGCTAAATGTATTGTTTTTACAGAAGTATTTGGCTGCTTGTTAAATAAAAATTAGGTGAAAAATATGTAAGTGAAGGTCAGTAGAATACACTGTCACCATTCATTCAGTCATGTGACTTTAATGAGTCGTCATTGATTTAACCTCTTGTGCTTCCTGTTAAATTCTTAACTGCAGTGCTGTCAGTTTTCTTTTTTGCCTGAAGAGTGAATGTTCATTTGTGATGCTGTCCCTGAAATGACTCTTCAGCAGTGCTCTTGTCCTCCACATTGACAGCTTGGGAGCCAGCCCTCCATGGTTCTAAGTGACTTAGGTGCCTGTTGTCAGCTGAATGTCTCTCTAGACGTCCACAGGTTCCTCCTGTGCACAGAAGCCAATGTCCCCAAGAAGGCTTTGAGGCTCCACGTGGAAAAGTCTTTTGTTTTTAAATTTATTCCTCCCCACTATAAGATATTAACTGAAGAAGATTGCTCCAAAATCCTCTTCTGTTTTGTGCCTGCATAGGAGGGAAATGATTCTGCAAAGTACAAGGCCCGGTCCTGCAGTCCTCCCACCTTGCCTAAGACATGGTTGGGGAGAAGCTTAACGCAGGCCCTGGATGTCACCTCAGGTTTTGTAGGGATATTTTGACAGTTTCTTTACCTATTTGTGTTCCTTTTATTCCTTCTTCTTGCCTAATTGCTCTGGCTAGGAATTCCAGTACTATTTGAATAGGAGTGGAGATAGTGGGCATCCTTGTCTGGTTCCTGATTTTAGAGGGAATGGTTTCAGTTTTTCTCCGTTAAGTAGAAAAACTGTAGGTTTGTCATATATAGCTTTTATAATGTTGAGGTACTTTCCTTCTATTCCTAGTTTTCTTAGAGCTTTTATCATGAAATGGTGTTGGATCTTATCAAAGGCTTTTTCTATATCTATTGAGATGATCAAGTGGTTTTTGTGTTTGCTTCTGTTAATGTGGTTTATTGCGTTTATTGATTTTCGTATGTTGAACCACCCCTGCATTCCTGGGATGAAGCCTACTTGGTCGTGGTGAATAATCTTTTTAATGTGTGTTGAATTCGGTTTGCCATTATTTTGTTGAGGATTTTTGCATCAATGTTCATTAAGGAGATTGGCCTATAGTTCTCCTTTTTGGAGGTGTCTTTGCCTGGTTTTGGGATAAGTGTAATACTGGCTTCATAAAATGTGTTAGGCAGTTTTCCTTCCCTTTCTATTTCGTGGAACAGTTTAAGGAGGGTTGGTATCAGTTCTTCTTTAAAGGTCTGATAAAATTCAGAAGAGAATCCATCAGGTCCTGGACTTTTCTTTTTGGGGAGACTCTTGATTGCTGCTTCAATTTCATTTTGTGTTATAGATCTATTCAGGTGATTAATTTCCTCTTGGTTCAGTTTTGGATGATCATATGTATCTAGAAATCTGTCCATTTCTTTAAGATTTTCAAATTTATTTGAATATAGGTTCTCGAAGTAGTCTCTGATGATTTCCTGGACTTCCATGGTGTTTGTTGTTATCTCCTCGTTTGCATTCCTGATTGTACTAATTTGGGTTTTTTCTCTCCTCATTTTAGTCAGGTTTGCCAGGGGTCTATCGATCTTGTTTATTTTTTCAAAGAACCAACTTTTTGTTTCATTAATTCTTTGTATTGTTTTTTTGGTTTCTATTTCGTTGATTTCAGCTCTTATTTTTATTATTTCTCTCCTGTTTGTTTTGGGATTTGCTTGTTCTTGTTTTTCTAGGAGTTTGAGATGTATCATTAAGTCATTGATTTGGGATCTTTCAGTCTTAATATATGCACTCATGGCTATAAACTTTCCTCTCAGGACTGCCTGTGCTGTGTCCCATAGATTCTGGTAGGTTGTGTTTTCATTTTCATTGACTTCCAGGAACTTTTTAATTTCCTCTTTTATTTCATCAATGATCCATTATTCATTAAGTAATGAGTTATTTAGTTTCCAGCTGTTTGCATGTTTTTTGTCTTTACTTTTGTTGTTGAGTTCTACTTTTACTGCGTTGTGATCAGATAGTATGCACGGTATAATTTCTATTTTCTTATATTTGCTGAGGCTTGCTTTGTGCCCTAGGCTATGATCTATTTT